GAGTGTGCTCTTTGTGGTATTTTTTTTGCACAGGATTCGCGGCCTGGGTGCATGACAGAGCATCGCGAGTGCACCGCGCGATGACGTGAAATCGCTGGATTTGACAGAATTCTTAAGATTCCAATGGTTTTCCTATGATTTCAGCAAGAGAGCCCGGGCGGGAAATTTGTACAATTTTTGTGAAAAAGCATTGGGTTTTGATGTTTTTATGTTGAAATGCTTGCAAACACAAGGTGTTCGGTAGGATTCTGACATGAACGCGCGCGTGTGCTCTTTGTGGTATTTTTTGCAATTGATTATCGCCGTGGACGACAGGACGTCCATGTCGAGAGGAAAAAATAAGAAAAATGTTGATTTTGTATTGTTTTTTACAGGTTAGGATGGGACCCACCGGATGCGGCCCCTAATGGCCGGCCTGAGGGGGGAGTAGGAGTATATTCTAATAAGGAATAAGGATAGGAAAGCAGATAGCCAGCTCGAGCGAGTCAAGCATGGCATGCCCAGTCCCACCCGCCCTCCCACAACAAAAGAAGCAAAGCTGCACAACTGGGGGCCGAAGTCACACCGGCCAGCCGGTTTGGTACAGCTGATGCGGCCGCGATGGCGGTTGCCGACGGGAACTGGCGAGCGCGTGTTGAATGCCGCGCACGCAATGCCAGACGAGTCGAGAATGGCCCGGTACACCGCAGGAAGCCAGAGGTGGCTGGAGGAAGCCCGACGGTCTGACAGGACACCCCAAAGCATTTTTGTGAAAAAGCATTGGGTTTTTGATGTTTTTATGTTGAAATGCTTGCAAACACACGGTGTTCGGTAGGATTCTGACATGAACGCGCGAGTGTGCTCTTTGTGGCATTTTTTGCACAGGATTCGCGGCCTGGGTGCATGACAGAGCATCGCGAGTGCACCGCGCGATGACGTGAAATCGCTGGATTTGACCGAATTCTTAAGATTCCTATGGTTTTCCTATGATTTCAGCAAGAGAGCCCGGGCGGGAAATTTGTACAATTTTTGTGAAAAAGCATTGGGTTTTTGATGTTTTATGTTGAAATGCTTGCAAACACACGGTGTTCGGTAGGATTCTGACATGAACGCGCGCGTGTGCGCTTTGTGGTATTTTTTGCAATGGATTATCGCCGTGGACGACAGGACGTCCATGTCGAGAGGAAAAAATAAGAAAAATGTTGATTTTGTATTGTTTTTTACAGGTTAGGATGGGACCACCCGGATGCGCCCGCTATCTGCCGGCCTGAGGGGGGAGTAGGAGTATATTCTAATAAAGGAATAAGGATAGGAGTAGGAGTAGGAGTAGGAGTAGGAGTTAGGATCCGAAGTAGGATTAGGAGTAGGAGTAGGAGTAGGAGTCAAGCTAGCCAGCTCGAGCGAGTCAAGCATGGCATGCCCAGTCCCACCCGCCCTCCCACAACATAGGAAGCAAAGCTGGCACAACTGGGGGCCGAAGTCACACCGGCCAGCCGGTTTGGTACAGCTGATGCGGCCGCGATGGCGGTTGCCGACGGGAACTGGCGAGCGCGTGTTGAATGCCGCGCACGCATTGCCAGACGAGTCGAGAATGGCCCGGTACACCGCAGGAAGCAAGAGGTGGCCGGAGGAAGCCCGACGGTCTGACAGGACACCCCAAAGCATTTTTGTGAAAAGCATTGGGTTTTTGATGTTTTTATGTTGAAATGCTTGCAAACACACGGTGTTCGGTAGGATTCTGACATGAACGCGCGAGTGTGCTCTTTGTGGTATCTTTTGCACAGGATTCGCGGCCTGGGTGCATGACAGAGCATCGCGAGTGCACCGCGCGATGACGTGAAATCGCTGGATTTGACCGAATTCTTAAGATTCCTATGGTTTTCCTATGATTTCAACAAGAGAGCCCGGGCTGGAAATTTGTACAATTTTTTGTGAAAAAAAAAGCATTGGGTTTTTGATGTTTTTATGTTGAAATGCTTGCAAACACACGGTGTTCGGTAGGATTCTGACATGAACGCGCGCGTGTGCTCTTTGTTTTTTTTTTTGCAATGGATTATCGCCGTGGACGACAGGACGTCCATGTCGAGAGGAAAAAATAAGA